GTCTCATAGGAGGAACACTAAATTACATGCAGATTATCAATGAAATTTGTTCTAGCAACTCATCAGCCATGAAATATTACTTATTAGTTGAAAAAAAATAATATACTGGGTCTCATAGGAGGAACACTAAATTACATGCAGATTCTCAATGAAATTTGTTCTAGTAAATCATCAGCCATGAAATATTACTTATTAGTTGAAAAAAAAATATACTGGGTCTCATAGGAGGAACACTAAATTACATGCAGATTCTCAATGAAATTTGTTCTAGCAACTCATCAGCCATGAAATATTACTTATTAGTTGAAAAAAAAATAATATACTGGGTCTCATAGGAGGAACACTAAATTACATGCAGATTGTCAATGAAATTTGTTCTAGCAACTTATCAGCCATGAAATATTACTTATTAGTTGAAAAAAAAATAATATACTGGGTCTCATAGGAGGAACACTAAATTACATGCTAAAAATTTGTTCTATTCTCAGCCATGAAATATTACTTATTATAAAATTTGTTGAAAAAAAAATAGTAAAGGTCTCATCAGGAACACTAAATTTCAAATGAAATTACTTATTAGTTGAAAAAAAAAAAATATACTGGGTCTCAGAGGAGGAACAATAAATTACATGCAGATTCTCAATGAAATTTGTTCTAGCAACTTATCAACCATTGAAAAAAAATATTACTTATTAGATTCTTGAAAAAATCAATTAAAATTCATTGAAAAAAAAATCCTACATAGGAGGAAAACTAAAAACATTCTCAATAAATTAGCAACATCAGCCATTAAATTCTTATTATTTGAAAAAAAATAAAATTTGTCTCTATTTGGTAACTCATCAACCAGGAAATATTACTTAGCCACACAAAAATTAAAAAAAAAAATAATATACTGGGTCTCATAGGAGGAACACTAAATTACATACAGATTCTCAATGAAATTTGTTCTAGCAATCATCAGCCATGAAATATTACTTATTATTTGAAAAAAAAAATATACTGGGTCTCATAGGAGGAACACTAAATTACATGCAGATTCTCAATGAAATTTGTTCTAGTAACTCATCAGCCATGAAATATTACTTATTAGTTGAAAAAAAAAAATATACTGGGTCTCATAGGAGGAACACTAAATTACATGCAGATTCTCAATGAAATTTGTTCTAGTAATTCATCAGCCATGAAATTTACTTCCTGGTTGTCATAGGAGGAAAAAAATAATACAGATTCTCAATGAAATTTGTTCTCATCAGCCATACAAAATAAAACAGTCTCATTAATTTCCAGATTCTCAATGAAATTTGTTCTAGTAAATCAATGAAATATTCTTACTATTTGAAAAAAAAAATATACTCAGCCATAGGAGGAACAATAAATTACATGCAGATTCTCAATGAAATTTGTTCTAGCAACCCATCAGCCATGAAATATTACTTATTAGTTGAAAAAAAAAAAGAGGAACACTAAATCACATGCAGATTCTCAATGAAATTTGTTCTAAATAAATCAGAGCTTGAAATGTTACTTATTAGTTAAAAAAAATAATATACTAGGTCTCATAGGAGAAACACTAAATTACATGCAGATTCTCAATGAAATTTGTACTAGCAACTTATCAGCCATGAAATATTACTTATTAGTTGAAAAAATAGTAGACTGGGTCGCATAGGCGGAACACTAAATTACATGCAGATTCTCACTAAAATTTGTTCTAGTAACTCATCAGCCATTAAATATTACTTATTAATTGAAAAAAAAAATAATATACTGGGTCTCATAGGAGGAATACTAAATTACATTCAGATTCTCAATGAAATTAGTTCTAGCAACTTATCAGCCATTAAATATTACTTATTATTTGAAAAAAAAAAATAATATACTGGGTCTCATAGGAGGAACACTAAATTACATGCAGATTCTCAATGAAATTTGTTCTTATTAAGCAACTTCATCAGCCATGAAAAAAATTACTTTATTCTATGTTGAAAAAAAAATTAATTGTTCTCAATACTGGGTCTCATAGGAGGAACACTAAATTACATGCAGATTCTCAATGAAATTTGGTCTCTAGTAACTCATCAGCCATGAAATATTACTTATTAGTTGAAAAAAAATAATATACTGGGTCTCATAGGAGGAACACTAAATTACATGCAGATTCTCAATGAAATTTGTTCTAGAACACTAACTCATCAATTCTCCATTAAATATTACTTATTATTTGAAAAAAAAATATACTGGGTCTCAGAGGAGGAACAATAAATTACATGCAGATTCTCAATGAAATTTGTTCTAGCAACTTATCAGCCATGAAATATTACTTATTAGTTGAAAAAATAGTAGACTGGGTCGCATAGGCGGAACACTAAATTACATGCAGATTCTCACTAAAATTTGTTCTAGTAACTCATCAGCCATTAAATATTACTTATTAGTTGAAAAAAAATAATATACTGGGTCTCATAGGAGGAACACTAAATTACATGCAGATTATCAATGAAATTTGCTGTAGCAACTCATCAGCCATGAAATATTACTTATTAGTTGAAAAAAAAAATATACTGGGTCTCATAGGCGGGACACTAAATTACATGCAGATTCTCAATGAAATTTGTTCTAGTAACTCATCAGCCATTAAATATTACTTATTAGTTGAAAAAAAAAATATACTGGGTCTCATAGGCGGAACACTAAATTACATGCAGATTCTCAATGAAATTTGCTGTAGCAACTCATCAGCCATGAAATATTACTTATTATTTGAAAAAAAAATACTGGGTCTCATAGGCGGAACACTAAATTACATGCAGATTCTCAATGAAATTTGTTCTAGTAACTCATCAGCCATTAAATATTACTTATTAGTTGAAAAAAAAAATATACTGGGTCTCAGAGGAGGAACAATAAATTACATGCAGATTCTCAATGAAATTTGTTCTAGCAACTTATCAGCCATGAAATATTACTTATTAGTTGAAAAAATAGTAGACTGGGTCTCATAGGCGGAACACTAAATTACATGCCGATTCTCAATGAAATTTGTTCTAGCAACTCATCAGCCTTGAATTATTACTTATTAGTTGAAAAAAAATAATATACTGGGTCTCATAGGAGGAACACTAAATCACATGCAGATTCACAATGCTATTTGTTCTACCATCTTATCAGTTATGAAATATTACTTATTATTTGTCAAAAAAATAATATACTGGATCTCATAGGATGAACACTAAATTACACGCAGATTCATAGCAAAACTAAAAAATCCAAATGATCACATGTATACCTAAGCACTTTTTCTATGTATTTCAAGTTCAGAATTTGTAGTGCTCTTATATATATATATATATGTATATATATATATATATATATATATATATATATATATATATTAATTTTGCACATTGACATCACCATTTGTGATGGATTCTGGAAATGTGTCAACCTTGTCTGTCTAATTTTTTTTATAAATATTTTGGTGGGGTTAAAAGTGCACAACAACATTAGGATCTTATAAAGAAAATCATATGTCAGATAGAAAGGAATAAGCATAGAAAATATTCTATGATATCTTTGGCCTGGAATGAGGAAACAATACCATAACCAACATAAAATTCCCTGATTTTGCCTGTCGTAGCAAGGAAATCCCCACAATGATGCCTTGTAAATCAATGCTTATGTTACTACTAGAGTAGTTAGAAGCCAAACCAAGGTCACTGGTGCAGTTAACATCATGCCTAGGGCACTGGTGTAGTTTAATGTCTTGCTCTGGATGCAGTTTAATTACAGTTTAAAGACATGGCTATGGCACAGTTTGGTTACAGTTTAACATCATGCCTAGAACATATATATATATATATGTATATGCATTTTTTTTTTGCACATTGGGATCATCATTTGTGATGGATTCTGATAATGCATCTGACTGTGTGATTAATTTTCTTTTATATATACATTTTGGTGAGGTTGAAATACATCATAAGCCCATAACATGATTAGAATATTACAAACAAAATCATATATAAGATATAACGGAATATGCATAGGCAAAAACAATAAAATGCTTTAGTATACATCTCAGTGAAAAGATTGTATATTTTAAATAACATATGTATACAGAAATAAAAAAAAAAGTTTTGCTCATCTGTTGTTTTATCAGAGAACTGTTTTGGATGTCTGCCTCCTCTGACCGTCAAAAAGTGAAGAATGAAAGATTTTTTTGTTCTGATGCATCATGGGAGTATTCTTTTTTGTTTAACAATTTTTTTAATATCTAACTTTTCTTTCTTTATTGAAAATTAAAAGTTTTACCTGTAATTTAAAGTATTTTTATTGCTCAACTTTTAATATTTCTTTTATTATTAATTATTTTGGTTTCAGACTACTACTTACTAGTTTAGTAATAGGTGTTGGGGAATATTCAGTAATTTATTTTTCGCTATCACTACAGGCTTTATAATGCAGCAATTTTAAGTTTTCAAACAGGATGTACTTTATTGACTTATATATGCACTTTTTCTTTTTGATATGACTCATTTGTGTAATATTTATTTGAAATGTTTCAATCCATACAATTGCTTCAAAATCCAAATGATAACATGTATGGCTAATCATGATCTTACTGTAATCAATATAAAGATAATTTTTCAATAAAGAATGATTAGAATATATTAAACGAAACCTAAAAAAAATGATGTGATATAACATTGTCATGAGTTTGAAGCTTTCTTATTTAATCCTGTGAAAATATCTATTTCGCCCAAATAAGAAGAAAACTGAATAATGAAAAGATCAACATGAAGGTGTTGCCCTCTCAAGTATTTTATTTTATACTTGTGTAATTTTGATAAAATATTTGCTGAAATTATATATTTATAATTAAAATAAAAACAAATATAATCAGTGAAGCCAAAATGAATGAGAAAAATTTTAATCACTGATTTCAATTGCTGAGAATGTCTTTTGTTTTACGTAAAAGAAAAAATTGTGATACTTACATGAACGTCTGACAAGAGAATGTGCGCAGTAAAAATGTAAAGTGTAACTAATTCATGGTTTCATTTTATTTTCTACTACTACTATTCGTTGAAATACTCTTACTTTCATTATCTTTTTTAACCTGAATACTTTATTTACTATAATTTAGTAACAACTGAATTGGAAAGAAATCAACTAACCTGACAGTAACTAAGATTATTGATGATGTCTTCCTTTTATAGAGTAGAATGAAAAGAAAGAAAAAAATCTTAAAATGCAGATGGACTAAATATTATTAATTGCAAATAATAAAATTCATAGTGTACAGTTTCCCTTTCCTTGCTGTCTAATGTCTGAATATAGGGTGTTATCATGGGTGTATTCTATGAATACTATTGTATGAAATTTGAGATGTAATAGAGTAGTGGGCCCCTGTATCTTAGATTTGTGGGGAAGTCACAAGGTATGAGAAATTTGTCCCAGCTTTCCCACATGAAAAGATTAATGTTAAATATGACAGAATTAATAAAAGCAACAATGGCTTGAAAGATTAGAGCGGACAATTCTCTCTTTTAGGCAGAATAAAAACTGAAAATCCTGCTTGGGGTGTGGCAATAAAAGAATAAAATGTTTAATTACATACACAAAAAAAGGTAAAAGGATAGTTTTTTACATTTTTTAATCATTCCTAGCATGTCTGAAATTTTTGTTAAAAATCTTTTTTTTTTTGAGTCACAAAATTGACAGATAATCAATCATATCAACCATTTTTATAAAAAAATGAAAATCTCAGTTTCAAATTCTTTTAAAAATCAATTATAATTGACAGATAATCATATCAACCATTTTTATAAAAAAATGAAAATCTCAGTTTCAAATTCTTTTAAAAATCAATTATAATTGACAGATAATCAATCATATCAACCGTTTTTATAAAAAAATGAAAATCTCAGTTTCAAATTCTTTTAAAAATCAATTATAATTTTTTCAAAATTTATTTTAAGAAAAATATAAATTATAAAGTTTACTTAAAATATTTTGAAACAAACATTGCTTAATTTTTCTGCCAAAAAGTTGTAGTTTAAAAAAAAAGACAAAGCAGGTCATAACATTTGGTGTCACTTGATAGGTGATTAATGATAATTTCATCACGTGTCGACAGCTTACGTAAGGGAAAGTTACTGTACGGAATGACAGAAGTGACAATTATTTCGTTTTAAGTGAACCATCTTATTTACCTTGTTATTTTTAAGGAAAACTTTCAGCGCTCTAATTTTTTTTTGTACTTAGCTTTCACTCTTACATTTACAATGCTTTATGAAAAATATATTATAAAAAAATTAAAATAAGACTGTTGAGAGTAACATTAAATTTCATAAGAAAGGTATCTAATTAATTTATAGGTACCTTTCTTATTAAATATTATCAGAGGTGTACATAAAATACTATAATTTTATGTATATTTATTAGATTTAACTATGTTATTTGTATTTCCATTCATTTTATTATTAATATTGATATTTCATCAAGGAAAAATGTCATAACTGAGATAATATGAAAATAAGATCATATAAATTTCATAACATGATACTAATACTTGTAGGTACACTTCTCAGTTGAAATTGAAAAATCAAATTAACTTCTCCACACGTGTTTTGCAAAAATAAAGGCCCTAACAGCGGAGAACAATGGTTAAATCAAATAACACAACTTTTTATTGTGTTCTTACTGGTCTTCTGTACATTTGAATTACAGCCATTTTATGAACACAAAAGCCATCTGGTATTAGTTTTTTTATACCGTTTGGTTCTGATTGTTATAAGCTATACAAATTATAATGCTAAAAGATAGATCTATTTAATAACACCAATGACTAAACTGAATGCTGTTTTCACTAACTTTAGAATATTTAACAATTTTAATGTAAAAATAATAAAATAATTTAAGAAATAATAAATAATTGTTTTAAAAATTCATTTTTCATTGGAAAAGATTTTTTCTTTCAGACAATATTATCCATATTCATAAAAACAACTAAAAGCAACTAAGAGCATTTGAAATTAAATAATATCTTTGTTTTATTGAGTTTTGTATGTTACATTTCAGAGCTGATTATCAGCTTTGTCCAATTAAAAAAAATACATGATTTGCTTTCCTCAAAGTCTTGTGCTTTTAACTAATATAATCACTAAACTGAATGGTATTGAATTTGTAGAGTTTTCATAAAATTAGTTATGGAGTTGATAATAAATATTAAAAAAATATTTTTGTTAAAAAAAGAAATAGTTTCCATCATTTGTGAATAGTTTCTAAAAGTTTCGTCTGACAATTATTTTTATTTTGGCAAGATTTTCACAGGCAGTATCAAGTAGTCACTGCCAAAGAGGAGTCTGTTGTCTGTATTTATGGAGATGAGATGGTTTAGAAATATCAGGAACATTTCCCCTCCAAAATTGCTATACAACTACCTGGCTCTCTCATTCCTTAGAAAATATATTCTTATCTCTGATAAGAATCAAGGATTTGGGAGCTGCTTTTTGAAGCATGTGTCTGACAAGTTTTGAGCATTACTCCCAGATTTTATGGCACCATGGTCTGGGTAATGGTGTTTTATATTTTCCAGCTCTCTCCTGAATCAGAAAATATACTCTTATCTCTGATAAAGATCAAGGCCTTGGGAGTCATATTTGAAAGTGTGTGTGTGTGGGGGGGAGTTGGTGTAAGGATTAGAAAAGAGGCTAGAACATAGAATATGAAAGTAAATCATTGCAGTAGTTGTTCTCAAATTAAATTCTAATAAAGTTACAAGTTTTTGGTGCATATGAGAGATAGAAATTGATTCTGGAAAGAAGTAAATGTATGTATGGATATTTGTTTTTACCCAAATGTAATAGCTGCGTCCCTAACAGTGTGCGCGAGGGAAGGTATATGTTTTTAAACATATTAAGTCTGACCAATTCAATGAGGTCAAATTGGCTGATCTCAAAAATGGCCAACAATATATTGTTAAATGGAGCAATGACAGGCTTGTTAATTTTAATGCCTCCAAAACCAAACTACTAGCTTTTCATTGTCAAAGAGAACCATTATTTTTTACCTTCCATCAGTATGGCTGATAAGCAACTTATTGTGACTTCTGACATTGATGAATACAAAATAAATCTTTATATAATACAATATAATAATTTGAATTTTGAAGAGGTCAAATTTAAAAGTTTTTGGTGCATATGAGAGATAGAAATAGATTCTGGAAAGAAGTAAATGTATGTATGGATATTTGTTTTTACCCAAATGTAATAGCTGCATCCCTAACAGTGTGGGTGAGGGAAGGTATATGTTTTTAAATGTAGGAAAATTAGATTAGCCATCTAAAGTCCCCAATTAATTGTGCAAATGTTGTATTTCATTTCTGGCTATATTACAATAACTGCAGCATTGGGGAAGGACCAAAGAGGTACAGAAGAAAGCAGCACATAACTTGCCTAATGAGCTTGTGTAAATGGTTGGCAGAACAGAAATAGTGAAAAGACAATATTGGAGAGAGACATGTTCAGCATCATTCTGAATGGACATGGCATATAGAAGGAGAAAAAGAAGAAGAAGATGCATTTTAAAACATGAAATAAGAATTTTTTCCTCCATCTTTGTCTAAAATCTAGAGGTTTACAATTTTTGTAAATTCAGACATGATTTTTCAAGGGAAAAGTCAAAAAAAAAAAAAAACATGATTTTCAGGATATTAAAAAATTGTGCAGCGTGTTCATGCATCTTTTATTAGTGTTTATACATTGCTAACAAAGGAGAATAATAATATCAATAAATGCATTATATGACAAGTGCAGTTCAATAAACTTAACAACAAAGAAAACACATTGAAACTTGTAGATACAAGTTCATTTTTGTTATACAAATTTCAATGTTATTTTCACAAAATTTGTTGTTAAGGCTCTTGAATTGGTCCTGAAAAATATAATGCATTTATTATTTATTATTATTTGTTATCAATTTAACCTGAAATACTCAAGTACACAATCAAATTGTATAAAATAAATGTATGCGAAAAAAATTTTAAAACAGTTTACACATAATACGTAAATTTTAAAACTGTTTGCACATAATATCTAATATATAAATGACTAACATGAAAAATATTTTTTCAGTTTAGAATTTTAGAAAATTGAAATTAATAAATCTAAGTTAAAAAGTTTGTCGGGGATTCTGATGCACTGAACTTGTTTGAATGTAATTTTTTTAATATATATATTTTTGGGGTGAGGTATTTAAAAGGGTAGCATCACCTCACAATGGGATCATAATATTACAAAGAAAACCATATACAAAATGCCACGAAATAAGCATAGAAAAATGATAAAATGCTTTCGTATACATTTCAGGGAAATAATTGTATATTTTAAAGAATGTATATATATTTCCAAGTAGTAAGGGTTGTGGGCCATTCAGTAATTTATTTGTTGCTTTCACTACACAATTTTTCTAAAGAATGCAAACTCATTCAATAGTAAAAATATTCATTATGTTTCTTCCATGCCATGGTTTTATCAGATGATGTGATCTTTGGAGTAGGGTTGTTCATTTTCTCCTCTATTTTGGTAGTGGCATGTGTTTTCTTCTCTAATTTATAGCTATTTGATATTTTCTTTGTTTAATTTGTTTAAGTCTTTCTATAAAAGATTTTAACCTATCAATAGATACTTGAGTATGTACATCATTTATTTTGATCAGATAATATTTAAGAGTTCACTCAAGCACTTCAAAGTGACCTTTATAGAGTGCTTCAAGAGGCTTGTGAATCCTATCTGTTCTGATTTATACTTTTTTGCACATTCTTATTTGTTCTGGGATATATGTTTTATTATTGTTATAATGATAATTACAGTTATTAGTTAAATCTAGTTGTGATATGGTCATTTGTAATTCCTTTGTGATATTCTGTGTAGTATCTGTATGATTAATACTGTCTAAGAGCAATGTGGTATTAATATTTATTTACCAGTAATGACATAAGTG